AATATTCTGGTGAAATTGCCAAACAAAATCTCACAATGGGTTATTCACAAAACCACTCAACAGTGAGCACAAATATAGTTCCACAAATTCAGAACAAGAATTCCGTTGCACACAAAGCAGGAAGGTAAAATGTTGACAGATTCCACCTTGGAACAAATTAGACAGAAAAGAGTAGACCCATACAATACAAACGGTCTTCAAATGAAGCTGTATACAAGGGTCAACAGGGGATGCAAATGCAAAAATTCCCTGGATAGATCAGTGAAAGCGCACAAATACAAAAGAATATTCTAGGCTGCAATTTCTCTGAAAATTTCTGTAGCACACCTTACAAGTAGTATGTGAATACAAAATGTTGGCACTTTCCAACAACACTAAACAAAATCTCCTGTTGTGAGCGAAAATAGTGAGTTTGTCAAAAAGTCTCACATAACAGGGTTATACATCAATACCCATGGCTGTACACCATGAAAACAAGTTGGCATATGCCAACAATACAGACTTGTGCTCGTCACACAAGTACAACTACTGACAAAATGTCAAAGTGGCTACACGCCGATACCGGCGTATGGCCTCAGCCACACCGCCCGGTACTGGCCATCATCCAGTCCGACTCTGGGGGTCTCTTCGGTAGAGGTAGCTTGATGACAATAACTCCCTGCATCCTGTCTACGACGCCATTTTTACTGTGGTGATCTACCGTACTATAATTCTAGGGCTGGGGCCGTCCTTGATTACTGACACGGATGAAAGCTGGACACCAATCAATCACTTCTCGATCACTACGGTTTATTACCAATCAGATGCTTGGTCATATCATGGAGGTAGGAATAGAAAACCCCCAAAACAAAACCCCCAGGGTCAGTCAGTCCCAAATGTTAGGATGTCTCAATGCATGTACATAGAGTGGCCTGTACATTCTGTATTCCTGGAACTTTAGTCCCCCGAAATTGTACCATTCTGTCTCATTTCAGAAAGCAGGGTTGTCATTCCTGAGTTCCTGACATTAGCGTACAGCATTCTCCTACATGTGTCCGAATTTCTCACCGATCGCCCACTTGAGCTCTCCGCAAAATTATTTCTCATTGAGGGAAAGTCCCTCCGCACGCAATCGCGGTGCCATAGAGAAAAAGCTCTCACGACAAACACACCATACACAATGGCGGTGTCCTATTATATCGGGACTCCCACAACTTCCCTGCTTTTATGCCATGCGACCCGAATGGCACGTACATAAGCATCATAATGACCCAATGAGATATGCACATCAGTTTACATTAGTTACAATCAATAACCTTTAAAACATGGGGGTAATAGATATCTTCAACAATCTGAACGTTTGAGTTTGAGATACTCATGCAGCATCCTTGCTCTAACTTGGACCAGCTCTTGTGATCACATTTGCAATCAAAAGTAAACTTAAATGAAAAGCTATAGAAAATCTTTCTTCGTTCTCTCATTAAAAGTGGAAAATACACAATTTTTTTTAAAGGTACACATCCGTCTTTACTTTAATGTTACAAGCTTTAACTTCAAGCTGTAGTAAAGATATTATCTTGTTTTCTGTATAGATTACAGTGTTTAAAGAAAACTGGTGTCAAAAAGAAGTTACAATGTTGTACTTCCAATAATACAAACTGTGTTAAACAGATTTCAGAAGAATTCAAACTCGCTCTTCAACTTTTACACAGTATAAGAAAACAAAATGCTTCTTATAAGATATTGGAAAACGTTTGCATAGCAATATAGCTAGCACACTATCAAAATATTTTGTAAACCAACAACTTTGTTATAGTAACTATAAAACGTGAACAAGTAGCAAGCTACAGGGTGATAGGCTGGTCAAACCATGTCCTATAATAGGAGTACCAGGACCCATTACTTAACTTGATCGTCAAGCAGAATCAATGATAAAAAATTAGGTAATTGCATTTGGCCAGCAACCCCAAAGTCTCGTACGACGTTCAGAGGGCCTCAATCCAAACTCCTCTGGACTTTGGGTGAACATGTGTGTTCCAACTACAGGTAGTGTACAGGTGTAACATGGCCTATGAGCTATGCAAGATCCAATTTGACTCGTTCCCTTAATCGAACTGATTACAGGAGGTTTGTTTTCAACTTTATCAACATTTGGAACAACGACCAAAATTAAATCCTCATCAGATGAGCACTCACTCTCATCATTGAAATCAGAATTGTCATCATCATGAGGTTTGTTCAAAGTACTGGAATCATTTACCTCATCAAGAGGGTAATACGCAGGCTCATCCAGTGGGTTCCCTGCTTTTTCCTCTGCCCTAAGTTCAAGCAGAATATTTATATTGGATTGCAGATCATCTAACTGCTCATTAATTTGTTGCTGCTGCAAAACCAAAATGTTTACTAACTCGATTAAGTATTTTTGACTTTCGAGTAGTGGTAACAGCTATATACCGCTGGGGGCGACCGATACTGTCGCCCATAGCGGTATATATTAATGCTTGTACGGCTGGGGGCGACCGTACGGCTGGAGGCGACGTACCGCTAGAGGCGACTTACCGCTAGAGGCGACGTACCGCTGGGGGCGACGTACTGCTAAAGGCGACTTACCGCTAGAGGCGACGTCCCCTAGGGTCGCCCCTAGTGGTATAATGCTTGTACCGCTGGGGGCGCCCTTTGTCGCCTCTAGCGGTATATATTAACGCGCGTATCGCTAAGGGCGACCACTATTGTCGCCCCTAGCGGTATAACGATTGTACCGCTGGGGGCGCCCTTTGTCGCCTCTAGCGGTATAAATTAACGCGCGTACCCTGGATGCGACCATTATTGTCGCCCCTAGCGGTATAATGCTTGTACCGCTGGGGGCGCCCTTTGTCGCCTCTAGCGGTATATATTAACGCGCGTACCGCTGGGGGCGACCACTATTGTCGCCCCTAGCGGTTTAACGATTGTACCGCTGGGGGCGCCCTTTGTCGCCTCTAGCGGTATATATTAACTCGCGTACCGCTGGGGGCGACCATTATTGTCGCCCCTAGCGGTATACCGCTGGGGGCGACCGATATTTTCGCCCATAGCGGTATATATTAATGCTTGTACGGCTGGGGGCGACCGTACGGCTGGAGGCGACGTACCGCTAGAGGCGACTTACCGCCAGAGGCGACTTCCCGCTAGAGGCGACGTACCGCTGGGGGCGACGTACTGCTATAGGCGACTTACCGCTATAGAGGCGTCGCCCCTAGAGGTTACTACCTCTAGGTGCAACTGCTAGCGGTCGCCCCTAGAGGAATAACTACCTCTAGGGGCGACGTCGCCTCTAGCGGTAAGTCGCCTCTAGCGGTACGTCGCCTCTAGGGTACGTCGCCCCTAGCGGTACGTCGCCTCTAGCGGTATAAATTAACGCGTGTACCCTGGGGGCGACCATTATTGTCGCCCCCAGCGGTATAACGCTGGTACCGCTGGGGGCGCCCTTTGTCGCCTCTAGCGGTATATATTAACGCGCTTACCGCTGGGGGCGGCCATTATTGTCGCCCCTAGCGGTATACCGCTGGGGGCGACCGATATTGTCGCCCATAGCGGTATATATTAATGCTTGTACAGCTGGGGGAGACCGTTATTGTCGCCCCAAGCGGTATACCGCTGGGGGCGAACGATATTGATCGCCCCCAGAGGAACTTCCGCTAGGGCGACCTTTCTTGTCGCCCCTAGCGGTATATATTAACGCGCGTACCGCTGGGGGCGACCACTATTGTCGCCCCTAGCGGTATAACGCTTGTACTGCTGGGGGCGCCCTTTGTCGCCTCTAGCGCTATATATTAACGCGCGTACCGCTGGGGGCGACCATTATTGTCGCCCCTAGCGGTATAATGCTTGTACTGCTGGGGGCGCCCTTTGTCGCCTCTAGCGCTATATATTAACGCGCGTACCGCTGGGGGCGACCATTATTGTCGCCCCTAGCGGTATACCGCTGGGGGCGACCGATATTGTCGCCCATAGCGGTATATATTAATGCTTGTACGGTTGGGGGAGACCGTTATTGTCGCCCCAAGCGGTATACCGCTGGGGGCGAACGATATTGATCGCCCCTAGAGGAACTTCCACTAGGGGCGACCCTTGTCGCCCCTAGCGGTATATATTAACGCGCGTACCGCTGGGGGCGACCACCATTGTAGCCCCTAGCGGTTTAACGATTGTACCGCTGGGGGCGCCCTTTGTCGCCTCTAGCGGTATATATTAACGTGCGTACCGCTAGGTACGACCAATATTGCGGAATTTCTGCTAGGGGCGACCAATAATTGTCAACAATTTCTTACAAAAGAGGGCGCGCTTTACAAACACTGGGAATTTTAGTACACTGTTGCACCCGTAAGGACACTCCGTAATTGCTCGTCGGTCAAGTCAGCACAGTTATTGTGAAATCGGGAACTCAAGATAAACACATTGTGTTGCAATCAAATCTCCTGTACTATTTTGTCGTGGTATTTGACACGAAATTCTAGAATCTTGACAGGAACCGCCAGAGAATGAATGTAATATAATTTTGTCAAAATTGTCGTCGAATGTTCGTTTTGAGAGCACTTCTGTCCAGAAATAATTTGAATTTGTTCAAGGGTAGGCAACTGCGGCATATTTCCAGCAAGTTTGAAGCAATTTGATTTTTGGCCAAAATAATTTTTAAAAAATGCAAGAGGTTAGCCTTATAAATTTTGATTACATTTGGCCGAAAACTGACATTACTCCTAACAATGCAAACACAATGTACCCCACATTTTCGTCAAAATTTCATTTTGAAAAGCAAATCTAGCCAAAAATTGAATTGGAATGTGATCATTAAGGGCACCTTATGCATTCCTTTCACCAAGATTTTGTTAGGAAAACATCTGATGGTAGTGTATGCAGTGCCCGCCTTTATTGCGACTTCACTTTAAAAAAAAAAGTTAGGTTCGTTTGGAGGGGGGGGGGGGCAATCCGCCCTTGCGCACCTCAAGTAAAAGAAAGGCAAATTCGTGATACAAAAAAAAAAATCACTTTTCTTTTTCCGGAAGCCCCAGAAGTACTTTTATTAGTTCACTTAAATTCATAATTATCTATATATATCAAACACAGTTTTCAATGAAGTAACTCCTGGTTTTTATTTTTTACAATAGTAACATAAATGTATAATATTGGTACACTGATCGATAAGATACTCAAGTTAGAATTAGGCCTTAGCATTCTTGCTTATCGGGCAAACACAAATACTGTCGGTAATTACATAAACGACCTTAACAATTATACTTTGCACACACCTTGCATAATTATAACAGTTTTTGTTCACGCTGTTAAACGAAGTTAAACTTTGTGTTTCCCGCCAATGGCTGAAATCAAAATGCACTGTACGATTGTGCAATGCCGTTCGATGTACGGACCAAGACTACATCAGTATGTTTGGACACAACTTCATTACTTACACGAGTATACAGTTTTTGTATAGTATTAACTATTGTACATTATTACCCATAATATACAATGTATAACATAAACGTATATATAATCACATTGTATCGTTTCAAAGAACCTTCGTTGTATAAATTACATGTACAGTACGCGAGCATAAGTCAGTTGCTAACAACTCCACCAGACATAAGGAAAATCTGACTAAAAACAGAAGTAAAGTCTGACAGATAAAATCAGGAAGAATAAAAAAAATCTGTTTCTTGTTAGTTCTTCATCCGTACAAATCATTACTCCTCTTAACCGTCGGCAGCATTGTTTTTGTTTTGTTGCATAGGCAACAAACATCGGTGCATAGCTGATTTTTCTCATTTTGTTCTCCAATCAGAGACCTTTCTCCTTGGAACACAGTTGAACTGTCAGAAATAATAAAATATCGGTTCTCAAGACTTCTTATATAAAGCTCTGGTTATGTACACATGCAGTCTGTTGGAAAAGTGGAACACCGAAACGCCTACAACGAACTACGTGTACATCTACTACGGTACCCAGAAACAGGAGAGTCAATGTAAAAGACTTCAACTTCTTAACAAAAACAGTGAAGTACATTATTGAATGGTGCACTGACTGACAAGTGTTTCCCCAAACGCTCGTTGAGATAAATAAATGCATTTGCACACGAGGGGTCAAAAACTCGTCTTAACCGAATTCTCATTTTACCAAAGTTCGTATTAAGCAGTTAATTTCCTCCTAGGAATGTGCACACTAAGGTCGAGACTGGCGAAATATGCTCGTCTTAACCGGAGTCCCGTCATAACCGAGCTCGTAATAACGAGACACATTCGATTGTAGCTTGCAGAATAATACACGACCAATTAAGATTAACCCGCGACCTTGTGTGATAGGTTAAGCTTAGAATTCCTCGAAATAGACTTAAAACAAGAAATATCAATGTCTTTCAAGAAGCTTCGCACCACCACCCCCCCCCCCTCCAAAAATATCCACACGAATTTCTATGGAACGTTTTACAGTTTTACCGTAAATACTGCTTTCAAACACTTGTATAGTTAGTCACTTTCAATAACTAGAAACAAAAGGGGACAGGTCACCCAAAATACCCGAGGAATTAAAATGAACTAATTTAAGATGTTGCGGCCGATGTGAAACGTTTTCTTTTAAGGCATAAACAAGATTCCCCATGGAGCGCCTTATTACGAATAAAACAAGTTGCTGAATAAATATACATGTACACACTTTGCATTACCTACGGATCCAAACTCTAGCTCAAAACGAAAAACATAACAGGAAAGCATCTCCAATGGCAGTGAACAAAAACAAATATACAAACCTTTACCTGAAGAAAACCAATCACTAAATATACTTTCATTATAAATAGTCTATCGACCCCAAAAATAAAGATTTGTTTGTTCTTTAGGAAATTCATTTACATACAATATTAAGTTGTCACATAGCCAAATGCAACAAGGTGCGAGGAGACATAAAACTCAATAAAAAATTAATTAAATAAAAGTTCCACATGCAAATTTGTAGAAATTCATCTCAACGCTGCCATTTAAAAAACTATCATTCAATTCGGCAACTCCCTTTGTTTGGAATAGCTTTTGTTCGGTTAAACGGACATTTTTGTTTTTACATTGGACTCTTGCATATTAACATGTAACTCTATCAAAGCTTTTCAAGAAAACTTACATCAAAGAAAGTAATTACTCCAAAGTTTGCATTTTTTTTTGCTTGCAAATATTGTTCTTTGAACCATTAGAGAAACTAGAGTACATGAGTCAGTATTACATTCGAAGCAATGACACAAATTGAGAAGAAAACTTAGATTTAGCGTGAAATCAATAACTATAAAAAACACATTTCTCCAAAACAGATTCTTTGCTAATGCTGTATTAAAGAACGCAATGTATGTACGTTTTTTTTGTTTGTTCATTTGCTTGTTTGTTGTTGTTTTAGTTCAATGACTTCGCTGACCATTTTGAAATTTCCAACTGCTCATCAACCGAAGGATAGTTTAAAAACTGATTTTTTTTTTTATCTAAAAATCATATTTGCTTAAAAAAAATTATGCATAAAAAAAATCATTTAATAATATACCAAGGCTTTAAAGGTGTTTTATTGCCAGCAAAATGCAACAAATTCCTTTTTTTTTTCAGGGTAGGCAAAAACGGAAGAAACATACATTAAAGATGCATACCGTGAGCTGTCAACATTTTAAATTTTTTTGAAGTTTTTGTTTGGATGACTTTGATTGACTTGTGATGACTTTAACACGATGATTTGAATGCGACTCCAACAATTTTTTTTCAGTACTGGTACACTCGTAATAAACCACATCTTATTCATGTCTCTGAACAACTTTATAAGCAAAATTGCCAAATTTCATAACTTGTGGCTATCGAAGGTGATTTTTTTTCCTTCCAAGGTTATGTCCAAAATTTAACTTACCAGCTGCATGGACTTAAGGTGAATAACCACAGGGCTCAAAACTGGCTCACGTTACAAACACTGAACTTGCATTTTTATATGCCCTCTACCGCCATTGTGTTTTCTTCTAAAATCACAAACAGTAAAACAAATTTGACATAAATTGCTTTTTTAAACACTTGCATATTCACCTTATTAAGCAATGAGAACGATAACTAGTACTAATCAATTTTATTCGTCGGGTGTGAAGAATTTGTTTACTTATCGACATTCATCTGGAACACTTTTTAAGCGAGAGATAAAGCAGTGCATCTTTTTGGAAATATCACGACGATACAGAAAATTTGGTCTACGCACAGAAGTTAATGTTTGACATTAGAACATAAGAACATACATGTACCACAGTCGCTCAATAAAAAGTAATCAATCATGACTTTAAGCCAATTCTTTTGGTAAAGGACACACATTAACCAAACAAAAAAAAATCTTCATATATTTTCTCTGTTATTTCAAAAGGGGACATTCGAAAAACAGACCAGGGATAAGTTGACTTTTCTTTTGCAATCTCTAACCATTATTATTATCCTAGCCTGAAGATATAATTAAAAGGGTTACTTGGGGTCATTGACCTAAGGTCAATTCATCATGCTCTCAAGGTCAAAGGTGAGATCATTGAACATGGACTCGATGTCGGTGAAGATGTCTTTGGATTCAGCTGGCTCTTGGCTGGCTGTCGGACTGCAAAGAGAAAAGAAAACAGTCAGTGAAAGCAAGTAGAACCCAAGTAGTAGCCCTTGAGTAAGGCGCTTTACCTCAATTACTCCTCTCAACCCAGGTGTTAAATGGGTACCGGCATTATTCAATGCTGGGAAGGTAACAGACTCGCTGTGGAGGAGGTGTGGTGATCCCCCACAGCAGGATATGAGTCTAGCCCAATCGCTTCGAAAGAGAGATGGGCACTCCGTTCCTGTGAACACAGGTTCGTCCCCTTTACTTTTAAACAGCCACAAGGCTTGTGTGGGTAATGTGCGTATAAAATGAACGGACTATGCACACAACAATAGTTGCACACCGTAACAAAGGGTAGTTTGCGATGACAATCTCTAGTGTTTCAACTTACGCAGGTTGAGTGGGAGAGAGTGATTGGATGGGTGACATTCTGGCCTTGGCTGAAGCCTCGGCATTGGCTGCAAAGCTAGCCAGTGGGTCATCGGAGCCCATGCTGTTCAAGATGTCCGCTAATTGAAGGGAAACTGTTGATGAAGATTGACAAAATTGACAAATATAAGGAAGCGATTTCAGGCAATTTCTGTTACACCAGCTGAGGGTCAAACTTGTTTTTGATGTGAAAATGGAAGAGAAAAATTACTGAACCATTCAATAAAATTTTATTTACTGATACAAGAAAGTGGCAATTAAAACAAGTGAAGTAGGACAATGTCTCCATTCAGGGAAAAAAATTAAGAGTGGGAAATTCTTCCACCAACAATGAGATGAATGTTCAAACATCCACGAAAGAGAGTGTTGATTATCAGAAAATCTTACTGCATGGAAGTTTTACGAGAAAATATTTCTTTTCTTTCTGTTCCGGGTTACTGATTATTGAATAATAGGTTTTTTTTTTACCTTCACCAAAGCCTTGAGAATCTCGGTCCTTCTTTGCAGTACCTGCTTTGCCCCGCTCTCTCATGACAACATCAGCTCTACCGTCCATGATGGCGGAGCCTCTGCTGCCCGAGGCTTTGCCCACAATCTCTGGATGGTTCATCTCAGTGTTGGTCCTGGCAGGACTCAGCTTCATGGGCTGCTTCTTGATCGTGTCCGTGTTCTCGTTCTCGAATCCCGACAGAGCCGACTCCATCGTGTCACTGCTGTCCGATTCCACTGCGGCATCCTGTCCGGCCAGTGTGTCCATCATATCCAGATCCTGGGAGTAGAAGTCCACATCATCTGAGTCATCCAGCGGTGGTGGTGCAACCACTTCTTTCTTTTTTGCCGGGGCTTTCACTGGAGCCTTCCCTGTCCTGGACGGTGATTTGACTGTTTTTTCAGGCACCTTCACAGGGGCTTTTTTCCTTTTCTCTGAGAGACTGTGACTGGATTTAGGTTCTTTAGGGTGTGCACTTGTATTTGGTGCTTCAGTTGCATTGTCCTGGGGAAGGGATAAGACAGGTGAAGGTTTCCGCTTGATGGTATCGGAGTTTGACTCCCATCCCTCAGACACGACAGGTGCTCTGTGTGACGATTTCTTCTTGCCGGCGCTGGATTTGGTTTTGGGGGCTGTTTGTGGACCTCCTGCTTGCCTGGACAGTTTCAGAGATGCTTGCTGCATCGATTGAGGAGGTGCTGGCAAATTGTTGGAGTAAGTAGGTGTGTTGGTCTGTAGTGAGGGAGGGGGAGGAAGGCCTGCCTCATCTGGTGGCGGGGGAAGGTCAAAGTCTTCAGATGGTGGGGGAGGCAGTGGGAGGTCATCATTTGGTGGGGGTGGGGGAGGGGGCGGGGGTAAATCATCCACTGGAGGAGGAGGTGGCATCATCTCTTGTTGAGCAGGCAGTGGCAGCTGGGCTGCAGACTTGACACGTGGGGCTTTTGGAGACACCTTTGGAGGACGTACTTGCTGCGGGGACACTTTTTGTGAGGGAACTTCGGAGGATTGCTCCTCAGGGGAAGGAACCTTGGGTGGAGGGGCTTCGAACTGGGGAACCGGAGGCGGTGGTGGCGGGGCTTGAGGTGGGAGACTTTGAAGTTGGGGCACCTTAGGAGGAGCAATGTGTGGAGGTGGTACCTTAGGAGGGGCAACAGTGGGCAGAGGTGCATGATTATTAAGTACTTGATCATGGAAGCCACCGTTATTACTGTCTGAGTTCTTAGCACCATAATTTGATACAAGTCCTGGCAGGCTGACAGGTTTCTGAGCAGGGCCTCCGTTATCCGGGAAGGGCAATTTAATGGGCGAGTTTTGGGTCCGTGTGTTTTGAGGCGAGTTTCTTGGAGAGGTATAGGATCTAGACTCTGAGCTAGGAGGTTGACTCTCAATATTCGTATCAAAGTCAGGCTGCTGCAGAGCTTCCTCTCTGGCGACAAAAGTCTCAAAGTCAACAGGAGCGTCCTTAGCCACGGGTGACTGATTGTACTCATCAAGGTCTGTGAATGACTTTGACCTGGGCCGGAAATCCTCCTCAAAGAAGTTGGGATCGGGCTTCTTGGCAGGCCTCTTCAGAGTGTGGTAGGTGATAGGCGTGGAGTTCTGATCCAAGAACTGCTTCTTCAGCGAACGGAAAGTAGCTTTGGTTTGAATCTTGAGGTTACTGCCTTCCCCCTCACTGGAGGAATCGGCCTGGTTTTGGTCCTCCGGCTGACCCACAAGCTCATAGTGGCGTGATTTTGGCCGCCAGATGCCTTCCAATGGTTTGGAGAGAGCTGGTTGGATGATTGGGGCATTTTCCTCCCCTTCCTGGGACATCCTCTTCCAGAGGAGTTCCATGTTGCTGGGCCGGTCTTGTTTGTTGGAGCTACTATCTGTGCTACCACTTCCACCGCTTCCAGTGCTGCCTGTTGAAGGAGGCCTCTGGGAGCTGTTGTGGACACCCTCGCGCATACTGACTTCTACCTGCTGTGCCTTATTTTGGGTTTGCTTCTCCAGTTCAACATCAACGCCTAATTTGAAGCCTCCTGATGAAGGTCTTCGACTGGTGTTTAAAAGAAGCTCACCTGAGGATGGCCTGTTACTACCTGCACGAGGAGGTAGACTCTGGGGAATTTTGAATGTTCCTCCAGATGATGGTCGCGGTTGACTCTCCCCTGCATCATCTGATGACCTGAAAGCTACTCCACTGGAGTCTCTTTGGGTAGGTGCTTTATCGTCAGCCTTGTTTCCGGGAAGCTGATTGGGAACTGCTGAAGACTGCAGAGTACTTTTTGTAGTTGCATTGGATGTGAAGGGTGACTCTGGAGCCTTTTTAACTGAGCTGTGGGGGTTTAATCGCATGCCTGGAGGCATACTTGCCGCTATCGACTGCTGCATTTCTGCTAACAGGGCAGCATTTGGCTTCACAGGGGTGGGATTGTGGGAAGGTGTTGACGTAGCTGATGATGGAACAGATTTCGATACGTTTGTCATTCCCATATCTCTAGAGTGCGGTGTCTGTTGATTTGTCCATGAGGGTTGCTGCGCTGCAACAGGACTTGTGGGCACTGAAGTGGTTTGACTTGGCATGCTGGTCTGAGCGTATGTTCCGGATAGTTGGTTTGGCTGCTGCTGCTGCTGCTGCTGCTGCGGATGATGATGCACAGGTGTGAGTACAGGTTGGTTGGTGATGCCATAAGCGCTGTAATTTACTACCGGATGTGGTGTCTCATCAAGAGTCTTATTGCCACTAAATGTGCTGGGACTTGGCTGATTGGGTGCACCTGTTATAATTGTGCTACCATCTGAGCCGTCACTAATGCTTCCCTGGGCATTGGCAGGTACCGTGGGTGGTAAAGGGGGCCCAATGGTTCCCCCAGTACTCCCGGCAGGATAGTCTCCCTCTTGGGAAGCCGATCTGTTCAACGTTGAGGTTTTCCGGGTACCTGATCTCTTGATCGTGGCATATCCTTCCGGAAGCTCAACTGTCTTGTTCATGTTTCCAGCCGCCATCTCTTCCCGGAACTGTTTCAGAGATTTCTTCCGTCCAATCGTGGCCGTTTTCAATTGCTCCTCGTCAACTGTCCTAATAGAGTTTGTCCTCTTTGGTGGGGCCGGGGGATTGGATCGCTTCATTTTAACGGAACCATCCCCAGAGCCACTCGATCCTATACTCGAACCGCCCTCGATGGAATTTCTTTTCGACGCACCACTGTAGGGATCATAATTGCTCCCTTGCGCAACCAGGACCCGTTCCAGACTATCGTTTGATCTCCTGTCCCTAGGAACAGCAGGGATCTTAAATGTTCCCCCTGCTGCTGTGGTGACGGGCGGCTGCTTGAATGTTGAGAACGTCTGCAATGTGCTTGAGACAGCTGCTTTGTCCCCCTCTGGTGAGGGTACTTTGTGGTCCGGTTGCGTCCCTGTGGAAGAGACTTTCAAGCTGGTCGGGACGTAACTGGCTTCCCTGGTCTCCGACAGCTGCTTCAAGTGGACGATCTTCTTTGGGTAGGCCTGCTCATGGGAGCCATGGGACCCACTGGATTTGTTGCTGCCGTCGCTACCTAGACTCTCTTGGCTGCTGCGGAGTCCTGATCTTTTCTTCACCATGGTGTTGTCCGGCGACTGCAAGGGGGACGTCCGATGGCCCATCTGAGCCAACATCAGAGTGTTAGGGTGCTGGTAGTGGTGGTAGGCCCCATCGTTGGAGGAGTGCGGGGAGGTACTGTCATTGTCGCTGCCAGCACTGCCTGCTTGCTGGGCGGACGCTAGGACCCGCGTGGCCTGCTTTTGGAGATCCCGTAACCTCTTTATTGCCAAGGTAAACTTCTTCTGGTGACCTGATGTCAAAGACAAACAGACAAACACCCCTTTAGTATTTTTATTCCTAACCCTTGCTGTTTGTGATGGGATCCACTGAAGTGAGTCTTACGCAGATAGATTATGAAGCACATTTGTGACTGGTTGTGAACTGGTTGAACTGAGTTTGAACTGGTTTTGATCTGGTTGAACTGGTTTTGAACTGAGTTTGAACTGGTTGAACTGGTTCTGAACTGGTTTTGAACTGGTTGAACTGGTTCTGAACTGGTTGAACTGGTTCTGAACTGGTTGAACTGGTTTGAAACTTGTTTATCTGGTTCAAAACCAGTTAAACCAGTTCAAAACTAAGTTTTACCTGAGTTGTGCATGGCATCCCTACCTAAAATTAGCAACAGTAAATAACCTGATAGTTGAAAGTAGCACCACTGTCTCACCTAATTGGTTGATGCCCATCTCCTGGAGGTCTTCCCACGTGATCTCGGACACGGCGTCCATCGTGCCATAGCTGTTACTCAAAAAGGTGTTGTAGTACTGGTACAAGTCTAGTAACTTCAGCCACATCACCACGTCAGGCTAATAAGAGAGAGAGAAAAAAAGAGTGAGAAACAAGAGATAGAGATTAGGGGTTGCAATGAAAGTGTGATAGTCTGTGACTTTTTCAGGCAACATCACATCAGGGCAAAGATGACTTCAAATTGCTCTACAATCTTTTTCTCCTGTTTTATTTAAAGTTAAAAACTAATTTAGTTTTTCTATTTTACATGTTTTCAACCCTCTGAAAATATGCTTTGATCTGGGGCTACGTTTGCGCCCATTACGCACATAAGATGCGCCAAACTTATTGTCAGGAGGCATATAATTCAACATATGTCAAGTAATTTTTGCCATATCTGAACATTGGCCAATTTTTTGGGACGATGTCTCATTCAAAAGTGGAACACTTCTGTATTGGTAGAAAAATACCAATTGAGAAAGGAATCTGTTTTCCCGGATGAAACTCGAAAATAGCTCAGGGAATGCAACTTTTAACAATGACAAAGTAGTGACACTAAAAATACAACAGAGCTTTGGCACCACACCTATAGTGGAAAACGAAGTACATTTTTATCTACGACGAAGCATAGTTTTTATAAAAAACAGAAGTGGCAGCTTTGGATGACATGAGTCAGAAGTTCTTTCAATGTGCATGACTGACCACTCTGACAGTCAAAGAACCAAATGAGTTTAAAGCAAAGATGGGAAAAAACTGAAAAGCAAAAAAAAAAAATCCATCGCAGATATAGGTTAAATAACTGAAATAAGACAAAAGACTCCTCTCAGATTTGGCCCTAAACAAATAAACAAAGACTAAACAAATATTGATTGAACATCTTCTGTTTTTAAAGGCAGAAAGGAAAATTTGCTTTTCATGCATTTTGTTCGATTCAAATAATTAACACCACTCAAAATCCAAAGACGAATATTCCAAACCTAATACCCTGGGTGCGTCACTGGAAAAATGCCAATGATCCTATATGCCTTTAACTTGGAATGGCCAGGCTCAAAACTGGAGAACAACGATGAAATGAAGACAAATTCTGAACTATTAACAAATTTACCGGTTTGTAGTTTGGTATCCCGTCAGGTTCGTTGAGTTGGCTAATCATGGCCGATATTCTCTTCCGATGACCAGGCTTAGTAACTCCAATGGCCGTCAGATCCTACAATTAAAAACAATTAAAAAACCCCAGTTAATTTGCCTAAGAAAACATGTACAGTGGAACGTTGCTATACCGAACACAGCTATTGGCCTTATTCACGAGTCGGCCATATTGAATTAAAAGTGAGGTGAAATCTTCATTTCTGTAACTTGCGAAGAGAAATGAAAGCAATGACATTAAGTAAATTACACATTGTACCTGTCTGCTCTAATACATCATTTTAAATTTGTGATTGAACAAGCCCTAACGTGTTAAGCCACAACAACTGAAAGTGAGGCTAGAATGTATAAATAGTCTGGCGCCGTCACACTCAACAGTTCACAATTAATCAAAATACATTAGGGGAACCCGACCAAAATGGCTTTGTGAGTAAGGTCCACAACGAACATTTGGCCTTGGCTCCTGAATTATTTTACCGATTTTAAATAAAATTTAGTTAAAAGACTGTTTACAAAGATAAGTCTTAAACTTTACGCTTAAACAAGTCCATGGACTGGGAATGGTGCATGTCAGCAGGCAACGTATTCCATACATGTAATTCTGGGGCTGCTGACAAAATGAGATATCAAGTCTTCATCGCCAGTAGATTTCCCCTCGGCCCCGTTGAATTTTTTTCTTCTAGAAAAAAAATGACAGTGAAGAATGAGCGTGCCCATGGAATTCATGCCAAAATTTTCAGCATAACAGGAAGGCAATGTGGAGTATGTGGTGGAGGGGGGAGGGGTGGCGGCAGAGCCTACCTCGGGTGTCATCCTGGCAATGGTGGGCATGTCGTATCCAGCCTTAGTGAAGTTGTTGGTGTACTCCGGCATGCGCTGCCTTCGCAGCCATTCGTATATCCTGTCAGCATCCTGCAAAAGTAAGAGGAAATACTCTAAAAGTCTGCCTTTTAAGCAAGTGGGACCATTTCAAATTTATGCAACTATCAATGGGCCTCATGACACCCCCCCCCCCATTTCATCAAGAGTGCGTCATGTCCTTCACGGTTGTAATAATACCGGAGTCTTATATAGCGCACGTATCTACCAACAATTAGGTACTCAAGGCGCTGGAAATTATGTCTTTTATTAAATAATAATAATAATAATAATAACACAGTGTTTATATAGCGCATCACACCGAGGTCTCGATACGCTTCACAGTAAACAACAATTAAAAGCAATTAATGGAACAGGTAAGTTTTAAGGATTTTTTTAAATTCATTTTCGGCATTGACAGTTCTAATATGGTGTGGGAGAGAGTTCCAAAGCGATGGTGATGCATGCATGAAGGAAAATGAAGTTAAATGTAAATGAAGTTTATATGAGAAATATGAGACCCACTATGCAGCACCTTATACGGGTTTACAAGGTGGACACAGGGTTGCGTCATGTCATGATTTGGTGTGTCAACATTTTTGGGTGCATCAATTTTCCTCGGTAGGTATATCACAATCTGCGAAAGGTGGGGCAAAAATGTCGCAAAATAACGTCAAAATTATGCATACACTTTGCCTTGACTCAAGTCAAAGTTTTATCGAGTCAAAGTTTTATTTTGTCAAGTCCCAAACATGTACGAAAGAGATATTTTTAAATATTACATAAACGGTACAAATTTACAATAACAAAAGGTTTCTGTGTCTTAAAATATACAAAATATCTCTTTTTACAAATATTTCTACTGTACCTTGCCCTGATACTGCGGTTTAATGTCTTGATGTCTCATGATATCCATCTTGATATCGGAGGAACCGTCGCTATGGGGACGCTGATTGCCTGGAAAAGCCAAAAAAAATAAAAATGAAAACAATTAGGTATAAAAGAAATTCCTTGAAAACTCCACTAATGCGAAACACTAAAACAAACCCCACGACACCATAGAATTAAATAAGTAGTACATGAACCAATAATAGACCTAAAGACCTAATGACGTAATGGAAGTCAGGACGCCAGACAAAGTAGGGAGGTCATTGGGTCTCAGGCCGATTACGAACAAGAAATTACCAACAAAGGAAAAAACATGCGGTTACAATTTTCATGACAAAATTGTTCACAATTAAAAAAAATGCAAAATTAAAGAATACCAAAACAGACACAAAACAATTTTTGGGGGTTAAATTTTTACATAAAAGCTCTGTGAGGTTTTTTAAAAATGACATCAAGAACAATCTGTAGTCATTTCCGGTGGGGTCAAGGAACCAGACTACAGGAACATGATTGTTTTTCTCGGTTTTTCTACGAGCACAAAATTTCAAACAACACAGTGTAACAATATTTGCTATAAAATGGTAGCCCCCCAAATCCATCCATTTCTGAAAATAACAGCAAAAACAAATGTTGTATTGCCCTTTAACAGCCCACCCCCCATAAAAGCTTCTTTTTTTTTACTGTTTTTTTTGGTCCAATACAAAAGTATTTCACTAAAATGCTTCGAATAAGCATGCAAAATTAAATGCTGCTGGGCTCATGGGTCAAAACTTTGACTTGCACAACACGTAGAGCTACTTCCCTTTGAATATGTCTGTTTCCGTAAGCCCGAGGAGTTGCCTCTTTGCCCCGAGTCAAGATTTCCAATCCCACAAATAAAGAAAATCTATCTGTGCCAAAAACAACTGTCGCTCTGCCTTAACTGCCAATTTCCGTTTGTTTCTTGACGTCAGGCTCAATGTTTATGAGGGGGAAATCGCATGCGAGGAGGAAAAAACATTCAAGGGGCCATACGCCTCGGGAATATTGGCCCAATTCTCTTGGCATCAAAAAGGGAAACAAATAACACCTCCAATACTACTGTTTAGTATAATTTGAATAAACCTGGGATTTTACAAAATGATTGTATATTTTTCAGGAAATGGTAAAAGGAACCGAAAAGTGGGATTGCGTTTTCTTCAACTGCAAAAAGACAAGTGTACTTTTACATGTATTTCTTCTTCAAATAACATGAAGTACTTGTACATGCATGAAATGGCTATTTTATCACTTTTCACAACGACATGTATCCCAAAAAATTAAAAACAATAAGGAAAAAACAACACAAAACATTCATTGCTCTGTAAAACTAGCATTGGTTTATTGCCGTTCTCAGACTCTCGGAACATCCTTGTTTAAAAAAAAAAAAGATTCTGTTTTTGTAAGAGAAAAAAAGCTGCAAATCGTTTTGACGGACACGACGTTATTTTGCGAGTGAACAAGCCCCTTTAAATCTTCAAGTCTGATCTCCTTGGGAGGCATCAGGAGAGCACACTGGAGAATCTTATTAAATGTGCATTGCCTGGGGCCGTTATCCATTAACGTCTCACGACTGCTCAATTGTTTTGAAAAATAAGAAGTTCCGAGGAGTGACACAAAATCGAAGGGCTTGTTAGGGGAGAGCAACACGAGACTGTAAATGCTGAATCTTAGCGGCCCACTTCCTGGGCAACGAACACAGAGCTCTCAATACGCAAAAGGGAGATTTACGGGGTATATTCGGAACAGATAATTGACTCGCTGGACAAGCGTAGACAATCCGAAGGAACCTCAATTTAAATTGAGATTGGGGTCTGGATTGCAGCTGAATTTCTTCTGGTTCTAGATGACAAATTTGGGTCGTTCCATCAACTTAGGGGCCAAAGGTGTAACATTGAAATTGAAATTTGTTTGCCAGGTATTTTGCTTTAATAACTAGAATAGAAGGCATTAACCCTAACCCCCTAGCGTCTTTTACTAGGAACTGGACCAAGTCCATCAAAATCCATCAATCACTATGCTTGCAATACAAAACTGTACATGACATAATGGAAATCCACCACTGATGCACTGGTCGACATTCATGGACTTGCTACACATGGCTTTTATTACAGTAGCAGTACAGGAAGCTAGGCAAAATCAATCGGATACCCCTAGCACTGCTTCAGGCCATCAAGCCCAAGTCCATCATACTCCATCAATATTTAGTCACGTAAGGCCTCCTGGACCAAGTCCCCCAAAATGGGGCATGGATTTTAATGGAGTTGGGGTGGTTAGGGTTTAAAGGATGTGCCCTGAATTTACAAAACCTTATATCAGATGTAACAGGGGAACAACAAATTGGACCCCGCATTTATGGACACATCCATTTACATTACTTTGTTAAAATTTCAAAACACCCAATAGTTGAAACATATTTATTCTGACCTGCTAGAGATCTGAAGACGTCCCTGTCACCCAAGACGTTCTCAAAGCTATGGAAGGGCTGTGAGTAGGCCAACGGCTTGGAGTTCACGTTCATGTGGATGGTTGGGACATTACCCGGGGTGTGTATGCCTCCATAGCTCTGGAGAGAGATCCAAACAATTGATGAAAGACCGTTGGATTGAAGTTGAACAAAGACACCGACTGGTTCGAACCTGCGACCTCCGGATTGCCGTTCCGGTGCTCTACCAACTGAGCTATCCAGCCCTATGTTGGCGGTTCAACATTTTGTCCATGTCTGTGTTCAAGGGGTGCTATTTTTGAAAGACTTTAATATATGCCAAAGACAATGCCAATGGGATTACATGGGAAGCATTACTTTAAAAATAATAATTGTAAACCAAGATGAATATTATAAAAAAAAATACCAGATTGCAGAGATGCCACCAATATATCAATATAAATCCTGAAACACTACTTAAAAAAACCTGAAACTAACCTAATCAAAAATGTGTTTCTGGATGTTTCAGACCAAATCCAGCACTTTTAATTGGTCACATTTTTTGAAAAAAACTCTCTGAATTCAGGTTAAAACCTGAAAAGTGGCGTCTCTGAGATTGGACTACAGAATCACACGCCTAGAAAAAAATCACACGCCTAGAAAAATCACACGCCTAAAAAATCACACGCCTAGAAAAATCACACGCCTAAAAAATCACACGCCTAGAAAAATCCAGGTGTGCCTTTATCCAAACGCCTGTGATTTTCAAATCATCAGGACTGTGAATTATCACTGAAACAGAGCCAAAAGCCAATGATCAAGCGCAAATGAAAACAATTCAATGAAGTTTGGACAAATTCGTCGGCTTGCATTGAAATTGCTCTGAATATGCTTAGAATTGTTGCTGAAACAATAAAGCAGAAAGCCGATGATCATTCACAAAGGCAAAAAAAAAAGTTGGACAATTCTTTTGCTTGCTCGGAAAAGCTCACAAAATTGCTACGAAATTGCTCTGAAGTTCCTCTAAAATGCTCTGAAATTTCTCTTAAGTGTTGCTGCGACAAAGAATCGAAGGCCAAAAATGATCACTCGCAAAGGCAGAAAATTCAACACAGTTTGGACATTTTTTTAGTTTGCTCTGAAATGCTCTTAAGCGTTGCTGCAACAAAGAACAGAAAGCCGGTGCCCAAGTGTGAATGCAGAAAATTCATCGAAATTTGGACAATTCTTCGGCTTGCTCTAAAATGCTTAAAAGAAATTGCTATGAAATTGCACTGAAGTTCCTCTAAAATGTTCTAAAATTGCTCTGAAATGTCTCTCCAGTGTTGCTGAAACCAAGAACCCAATGACACATATGATCAAGTAGAAAGGTAGAAAATTCAACACAGTTTGGACAATTCTTTAGCTCGCTCTGAAATGCTCTTAAGTTTTGCCGCTACAAAGAACAGAAAGACAGTGCTCAAGTGCAAGTGCAGAAAATTCATCGAACTTTGGACAATTCTTCGGCTTGCCCTAAAATGCTTAAAGAAATTGCTCTAAAGTTGCTTTAACAGGATAAAAAATTGCTCTGAAATGCTCTGAAGTGTTGCCAAAGCAAAGAGCCGAATGCCAATGATCAAGCGCAAATGCAAGAAAATTCAACAAAGGTGTCAGGACAGTTCTTCTGTTTGTTCTAAAATGCTTAAGCATTGCTATGAAATTGCTCTGAATTTCCTTTAACATGTTCAAAAATGCTCTGAAATGCTCGGAAGGTTGTCGAAACAAAGGACAGAAAGCCGAGATCAAGAGAATTCATCGAAATTTTGACAATTCATCGGCTCTAAAATGCTTAAGCAATTGCTATGATATTGCTCTGAAGTTGCTCTGAAGTTGCTCTGAAGTTGCTCTAACATGATCAAAATTGCTCTGAAATGCTCGGAACTGTTGCCGAAACAAAGACCCGAAAGCCGATGATCAAGCGCAAATGCAGACAATTCAACGAAAGGTTTCAGGACAATTCTTTCGGCTTGCTCTGAAATGCTAACCCTTTTCTCCATGCTCTCAGTGGATGAGCTTACATCGACTCCGCTCTCCTCTCCGGAGTAGTCCTGATTGACCTGGCCGTTACCGGTTCCTCCCTGCTTCAGCCAGACGCCGTTCTCCAGCTGCCGACCCGCATCTGGATGCAGTCGCCGTGGCGACAAGGGATGCTGGGGCGACATCCGCTGGTAGGACTGATCATCTGAAGAATCGCAGGAGGAAGAAAAACAAAAACTAAATAAATGAAATCATTTTTTTTTCTCCTGGTCGGATAATCGATTTTTAAAACTATCTCGGGACTTTCTGAAAACACTTATTTGTGATCGGTCCTCCGGCCAATAATGGGTTATTACATCAGTCGATCTTGGGACTTCCCCCCGCGATATTTACTACCCCTTCAACGGTTACGAAGAGAAAGTCCGGGCAGACCACTGGGAGGGAATATTGAACCCATTGCCAACAACGCCTGAAGCTCATGCGAAGGACGCTACAGATCTGTGAACATCCAGAGATTTGAGAGACCTATTTTACATTTGCAGAAAAAGCATTGCGGGCCATTTGCTATAACACAGAGGGATAAACTTCGATCAAACTTCATTCACCAGAAACAATCAATGTTTGAGTTGTGAAAATAAATTGTGTCCAATATGTTAATGTCTTGATGGATATTGTACAAATGTATATTTTAACCCTCTTGCTATTTAAACAGCCACAGACAGTCAAAATGTCGATTCGCTTCCCCTGCTATATATTTAACACAGGCTAGTCACCAGCAGTCAGATCATATGTCAAGCACACACTGTGACTAGTCAAACTCAGTCAACAGACCATAAACAGACAAAGCAGGCAAGTTGTGGGCACAGCTGGCTTATCAATTACCCACAGTCAAAGCAAAGCTGTGTAAAGTTACATGGGCAGTCACGGCCAGTCAATCCTGCTTTATGTAGGCTGGGAGCTCTGAACTGTTGAAAAGAGTCACTTGATTGATTTGGAATAAAAGGACTACTTGGCACAGAACGTATGTTGGCATAGGAGGATTAAGTAAAAAAAATGCCCTTGATTTTGTTGTTGTTCATGTATTACAATTCCACTACACATGTGAAATTCACCAGTCGATATACATTGTGTAATATTAGACACGACACACAGAATCACTATTAACAACCGTCTAACTCACTTGTTGGCGAGGGTATATGCTGCGGGCTACCAGCCATGGCCCTGGGCGGACTACCAACCATGTTACCATGGTAATGATCAGGTGCCGGAGGATACTGGAAAACAGAAAGAAAGATTCACAGTCAATACCAGAAAAAAATTTATGACAGTTATATTTTTCATGTATTGTCTTCGGAATCCTATAAAATACTCGTACAAGTCTCAACAATAAGTTTTCTGCCTTTCAATGTTTCCAACTTTTAAGAAAGGCGTAGCAGAAAGGAACACCACATATTTCTGGGTTACGCGGCCGAGTAAAACAATCAACCAGTTTCTCGTTGCTGCCCACTTCTTTTACCCGCCCGCCTCTTTTCTTTTTTTTGTATATTTTTTTCTTTTTGGTGTAGAGGTGATAACAGTTCTGCGCGCATGGAGATTTCTATTGTTACGTCACTGATTTAACCCTGACCTTCCCAAATCCTCCAAAATCCTCTTTTCAAAATGGAGGATTTTGTAGGATTGGGGCATTATGGCAAAATGTGTGGCTGATTTTGGAGGATGCACCGTGTCAAGGTCTTGGGCTGGACCTTGTGTTGTTTATATTCAGCCATGCCGAAATGTAGGTCTAGAATTATACTTGAAAATCCTCCGCACTGCTCCAGGATGTTACCGCCCCTGCCTCAACACATTGACAGTGATTGCCGGAGTGTTTTGCAGGATTGAGGCAGTGGTAACCCCTCCAAGGACCACATTCAGGATTGAGGATGTATGCAATTTTTACATGGAGGCCGTTGGAGGATTTTGCAAGATTGAGGTTACATCCTAGCAAAAATGCCTAGGGAGTCAGGGTTAGGCAACTGTTTGGGGTTTATTCCAATACATGCCAAATTATTTGGGAGGACATGTATGCCTATTCTTGATTTTTTTGTGGGGTTAAGTGTGCTTTAGCTGTGCTTATGCATACTGCTTATGGTCTCCATGAAATAGACTAAGATTTTTTTTGTGGGGTTAAGTGTGCTTTAGCTGTGCTTATGCATACTGCTTATGGTCTCCATGAAATAGACTAAGGCTCCTTTAGCAAAAAAAATATGTTCTAAGCAGTGTCACGAAACTGGGCCCTGGTTCATTTGACACAGTTCAAACATTGTCTGAAAGCAGAGGCAAAACAGCTGCTGTCAGAGAAACACTGAGACGTCTACCAGTTACAACAATTTACTTACCGGCCTGTCCTCCGGTATCCCATAAGGCACCGAGCCGTTCATAGGCGGGGATTGGTGAGGGGGAGGGGGTGGCGGGGACGACAGTCCAGCATTGCTGCCGGCCGGATGGTAGTAACCGTGCCTGTACGACTGGTTGTGCATCGGGTCCACGCTCTCTGCATTAACGGACAAATAATAATCTCATGAGACTTTACAACGCCACGTTTTTCTAGTCACAGGGTCCTTGACATTAGAAGGCAAGTCTTACTCCATATAGGGTTCACTTATTTTGTCTCACATAGGATTAAGGGTAAGAAAGTCTGTCATGAGCCAATATGGCCCATCAGGCCGGTGTTTATCTCCGGTTTCCGTGGCATGAAACAACTGGCATTGTTTCTATTCCCCCTGGATGGAAGGCCAGTCCATCGCAGGTTACTCCCCAGCTAATGCTGGTACCCATTCATACTCCTGGGTGGAGGGAGGCAAGTGGGGGTGAAGTGGCTTGCCCAAGGACACAACATATGACCGGCAGCTGGATACAGACTCAAGAGTCAGTGCAAAAAATTGATCCACACGAACTGTTTTTTAACAGCTTGGAAACTCTTGGACGAAAATATACAAACGGCAATTTTTTTTCAACATACAGGTTCATGCCATTAAACACTTCAACAAAATCATAACAAGTGTGACTCATATTAGTAATCATCCTACTATTTAAGAGGTCACAATCGGTCAAAATTTTCTTCCTCGCCTCCTGGCCTAATGTGTACAAACCAATGGGGGTCTTGACCAATACTGACCCAAGTAATAAACAGGCTCACAATGCACGTTTTCACAGGACGGTTAATGCAAAAGACAACGTTTTAGCTCTTTCAAAATAAAGCTTATGCATAACACAAACAAGACATGTATTTCAAGACTTTTTTTTTAGGTTTTCAGGTTATTTTCCCCCATGTTTTTTTTTTTTAGCAAACCCAAACAAACGACCAACAAAATCTTTATACACTGAACCCTAGTTGAACTTAAAAAAAGAAAAAAGAAAGGAAAAAAGAAAAGAAAAAAAATCACCGCAACCCACAACTTCCTTCACAAATTGACTGATGAATCTCGTTCGCTTTTCTAAATGCCAACTTGATAAGAAACAATCCTTTTTTTATCACTCTCACAGCTCATTATCCCAGGTTCTGACATTTCGCAGGAAAGTTCAAACACGGAGTGGGAAGGTTCGTTTGGTCATCTATTAATCCAAGCCGTTGACAGTCCACACTTCATTCGTCATTCGCCTTGTTTTATAAAGGTCAGGTTCGCGCTATTCCAGTTGAATAATATGCCGAGAAAGGATATTTAAATTCTAGCCATTCAATATCAATCGATGTTCAAAATAGAAATCACAAATTCAAATTATTTGTTGTTTTTCATTTTGTGTTTTTTTTTTTTCAATGATGAAATATCGTCAGGCCTGATTTGAACTTTTTTTAAAATACTGTCATTGGTTGATGTGCAACCAGTTTCTCATGATTTTCAGGATCCAAGCTACATGCTTGATTTACCTTTGCACACATTTGATAGTGGGGTCTACATTTTTTGTGTACATGTAAAGACCTTTGTCATGTTGCCGCCATCTTGATTTGTTCCCATTCAAATCAACGTAACCAAAGCGAGGCTGGAAGGAAAAATAGTCTGGTTCCTTTTTGCACAAAAATCATTATCATTCAGTACTGCTATTGGATACAGGGAATATGACGGAAATGGTGGCAGCATGATTAAGGTCCATTATCCCCATTCATCAATCCCTTTTCAATCGAAAGTCAGAAAAAGTCGAAAAGTTGCCAAATTGTCAGCATTTTTTTAAACCATTTTACCCCATTTAACTTCTGTGTGGTGTGCGACGCGCGCGATATGCTCAACGTTGCAACTTTTGCAGAGCTCATCTCAAGCAGCTGGCAGTAGCTGAAGCATGCACTATGCGCATGTTACGCAGAGTGCAGTTGCAAACACTGGTCATAAACATCGCTGACCAGTGTTTAAACAGTGCTTTAGGACCAAGCATGTGATGGAGCCCCCAATCCATAGGAAGGGTAAACTGTTGCAGGTATTTATGACTTTGATATTAAAGAATGTTTTCAAATGGGTTAATAATCACAGACAGGAACCGTGTTAACTTTCACTGGTAACCCACAGTTATCTGATTCATTAGTAAACCCTTAATGCTCACCTCTGTTAGACCAGTTACCGGAAGAGCTAGCGGACGCGGTGGAGTCCGAGGAGTAGCGATTGTTAGTAGTGTCTACGAGAACGTTACTGGATGGAGGCGTTATGCTGCCCGGCATACTTGATAAGGGGGTGCTGCCGTGGGGGTAGGGCTGACCGGTGGGGAGAAGGGGTCCTGACGAATCGACAAGAGATGGGAGGACGGGGCGGGAGAGAAAGATTGAAAGAGAAAAATAAAGCACAAGTGAGCTCTTGCGTATTGACTGTTTGTCTGAATAGAGCCTGCAAGTTGACCTCAAAAACCTGCGAGATTTTACGAGATACAGCACATCCGGGCATCATGTATTATAATAATAATAATCGGCATTTAAGAACGCTCTTATTAGTAAACTAAATCACAGCGCTTACATTTTTATTATTACCCCTGATCATTGGGCCAATGAAACATTCCAAATACCATCTCAGCTCCCTGGGGAGTATACAGCTTGATGCTGCCTGTCAGGCGCAAGCAAGCTTAGTCAATCACAATAACCATCTCTGCCCTCACAGGTACCCATTTTCTCCTGGGTAGAGAGAAGCAATGAGTGACAAAGTGTCTTGCTCAAGGGCACACGCAGCATGACCCCAGGCTGGACTCGAACCCACCACCAGCAGCTTTACCCACAGACCACAAATCCAGCGTCCTTAACCACGAGGCCACAGGTTGTGGGGAGTCAGGTTGGTGTAGCGGTACTTTCCTCGCCTTCCACCGCTGTGACCTGGGTTCGAATCCCGCCTGGGCCAGTATGTGGATCGGGTTTTCAGTCCCTACCTGATTCTGTGGGTTTTCCTCAGAATCCTCTCAGAATTACACGTAACACAGGTGTAATATCTGTTTCAACACAGGGTTGTTATGTAGAGAAACCTTATAGGCACTTGATACTGATTGAAGGATAATTTTTCACACACAATATTCACACATGTTATATGCATTTCAACACAAAGTGGTTTTCTGCAGAAATTCCAGATAAATAATCCTAAGATCTCACACAATACACCAAACTATAGGGCGAGTAAAAAAATGCAACCCAAATGGCAGGACCAATTTTTGAAAGTCCAATCAATGAGCTTTCTTTTAGTACAAGAATCATTCAAATCACTCATGTACATTTCAAGTTACGTCATTTCGAACGCAAACACCATTCTAAAGTTTTTTCCAAGGATCACAAAAAAGGTACGTGTTCTTAGTTCCAGCAAAATGAAAACCAATTCACATGCATCCCTATGAGTCAGTTCAGCGTGTGACATCGCGTAGCTGCAATCGGCTCAGTGAGAACGTGTCTCTGACGCTGGATTCAGGCCCAATTCAAAACACGACTCGGCAACATTTGATTTGAAATTGAGATCCTACATCATTCGCTGAGCTGAAACTGCACCAGGTTAGTTGTTCAGCCCCATTGCTAATTGTTCAGCAAATTACAAATAATGGACTCTACTTTTAAAACAACACCCCCATCCCCCACCCCCCTCCCCACCCATCACACCCACTGAGTCTCTCTGCCAGTGAGGGCGCTATTAACATGTGTCATAGGTCACATCATTACCCCCCCCCCCCCCCATGTGCTCGAAACAATTACAAGCCTGGCCTTGGAAGGAGACAGCTATCTCTGCAATACTGTAATGATAACAATGATGACACAACAAGCACTGATGATTGCACGCAGGCAGTGGTCACAGCTGTGAGCCAACAGACAATGTGAAGAAGAGAAGGGCATTAGACAAACTGGCACCTGGCAGGCACCACATGGCCTGTTATTGATGTCAATGTACATGTATTACGTATACATACATGTACATTGTTCATGTATAACATGGGGAATGAGAGAAAACAGGTCCTGATTACATGTGCAATACATTGAGACAGCAATCACAAAAAGTGACTATAAAAGCACGCGCAAAAATCATACATACATGTACCAGTATGCCCCAAATTTTCAGAGGCAGAATTTGATTAAACCTGTTATGCAACATTTGATGTACGTATGCGTATTACATGAAATGCCTGTAGAGGCACTAGCATACGTATTCTACTTTCTGACTATTACCAGTTTTGTGAGAAACTTGTTCTGGAGCCATAAGGCCAAAAAAAAAAAAAGTCTCCGGTTTCTGGTATGGAGCTTGCCCCAAAAGTGGTGCGGCGACGCAGCCTTTTTTCTTTCTTTTTTACCTATTTTTTTTTTTTTTTTTGGCTTCAAATGTCGGCTGATGACTGCAAATGGTGCCCGACTAAACTTAGTGCAAATATATGGGAGTCCAGAGAGGCCACATAAAGCTTATTCTCGATCATAACCCCATCTAAAAACACGTTAAAATTGTGCAGCAGCAGGATTCCAGTCAAACCAGTGAGTTTGGCGGTTTTGAGACATCACCTTGTATTGAAAAAAAAACGCTGTTAGGGCTTCGGCCTTTGCACTCGCATTAGTTCTGTTCGATACCCCCCCCCCCCTTTGAGAAGTGTTTGACGTTTTTGTTTTAGAAATTAATTCCATGGCTCCACTCTATGGAATTCTACACTGTTTATGTATGAATGTATGAATGCTACGATCAAAAGTTTGTGCTTAAATGTTAAGTTCTGTCAGTTTGAACTTTGTCTATTTAATTTTATTTTAACCATGTCTATTTAATTTAAAAGTCAATCTACAAATGCACACTGACATCTATTTTTCATATAAAACAAAATAATGTCTGTAACCAAATGGAACTGAAATGCATTGATTCAGAATGACCTTTTTTCCTGATATGACTATAAATATGCCTACGTGACTTCTTTAGATTATATTATGAACTAACGCTTCATTAGTGAAATACAAATGTTTCAATTACATGGATGGCTGATCTCATCAATACAGAACACAAATGACCTTCTCATGCTTGAGGGACCATATGCACATGGCCTCATGTTCCATATTACAATGTACTATTAGGCCAAGTAAAATAATAAACATTTCTAGTCCCCGCCCGCTTCCTTTTTCCTGCTCGACTCTCCCTTGTTAAGTTTTGGTTTCTTTATTTGTTCCCAGTAAAATTGTACGCAGGTTCAAATTAAAATAAGGCGACGGCGTCTTTGATTCTTTGAACACCAGCAAAAGTGTTCAGAAACTGGAAGAATTCATTCACATCTTGGAAAATCTGCCATCTTAAGAAAAGAAACAAAAGGCCGCCTCCTCCCTTTTTTTTAAGGAGCCGAGACGAGAAATTATAATTTTTTTTGTACTCGGCTTTCTAAAAAGTGGGCCCAGATGTCGCATGCTTCCAGTTCATGATAGCCTCTCATCTGGCAAATTTAGCCAGTTGCCGCTGATAAGTGCTTTACAAGTGGTTTCATTGAGAAAAAGAAACGTAAGCCACAGTCTGTTCATGCAGTGAAGAGGCATTAGATTCGACTCTTTCGCAACATATGCATGTTAGTGATGAATTCCGGTTTGGCAACAAATGCACGCAAATGACGCAATGCATTTAAATTGAGAACAATAACCGTCAGTAGTGCACCCATGTATGTATGCACATACCAGAATTATCATGCAAATTACTTGTAAAACGAATATTACTGGCAGTATGATTAAATGATATTTCTGTGCAATGAACATTAACGAATAGTGAAAACCCCTGTCCTTTTTTAAAAATTATTTCCCTAAAATGAAACTTTAAATTGATTGTTTTTTTTGGAATTGATGAAACCAAAAATTCACTTATTATTGAAGCTCACTCTCAATCCAAACGAATCACAAATATTTTGTTTGTACTAAAAGGCAAACGTCATCATTTAAAGTAGACAGACATATTATTCAGTCTGGTACTTACCTGAAGTGACCGACAATATTATGCTGTGGAAGGGTTCGTGAAGTGATTTTTTTGGGGGAACACATTTTGTGCAACTTTCAGTTCCTCTTGAATGTATGAAAACTATTTGACACCCCTTTTTGGTAAATTTTACTGAAAAGTGCACTTCTTTATACATTTAAAATTGTCCATGCTTTTCCGGACAACTGAGTGTGCTGTTGCTGTGATGTCATTCCAGGAAGACACTGTTCGGTTAAGTTTTTTTGTTTGTTCAAATTGCGAACCCAAAATTTGCTCAATGAAAACATTTGTGAGAAAGAGTTGCTCATTGGCTTACTGCCATGTTCTCACGCAACAACAAATCACCAAAGAAAAGAAAATTGACGACAGCAAAATATCCAAAATTCTGGCAACTTTTTTGTGCTGAAATAGCTGTAACATTGAGGTTTCTGCCCAGAACGACATCACAGTTTTGCTCATGAATATGGAAATTTGCATTAGCATAAAAACCACAAAGGCACTAAATTACCCGTTAAAATGGCAAAACAAAAATGAACTGTTTGAGAGGTTAGTATAATAGATCAAATATTGTTTATCTGACACGTTTGAAGTTTTGTTTTCGAAAATGCTTGAAAAACCAAGAAAAACAAAAATTGTTTAAGTAGTCTGGTTCCCTGACTCCACTAAAGATAAAATGAATCAATTTATAGATGTCGGAAAATTGTAAGGTAAAGGAACCAGTCTAGCTGGCCTGCACCCGTTCATGAACATGTAACTAATAGCAAACAAAATTTGGACTGAAAAAAATTTTAAATTTGGAGCAGTAGTTCAAAAATAGTTAGGTTTTTCCAACGGTGGTCGCCCACCGTTGGAAATGTATACAAAAATACCATTTTCTTGAAAATGACTTGACACCAGGTGCCGTAATTTTACAGGATGCTTTAGACTGTCATTTACCAACATCCTAGTAAGCTATTTCGTAAAAACTTGGTAGTTTTATTTTTTGATGTATGCAAATGTTGTATATTCCCTTTAATGAGACACAAAGGTGCATTTTCCAGAATTGCATTAAAAACAATTGCATTGCATGAGCTTTATAAATTTGTCTTTTCAGTTCGAAGATTCTTCTCACGTTCGACACGCAGCGCAGGTCCGGCCGTGAAGTAGTCCATATCATGTCGTTAATTTTGCATGAAATGTGGAGTGTCTGCCTTTCTCCGACCTGGAGAGCTACAATAACAACATTCACCACTAAACGTTCCCACGTGATGCTCTTCAACAACGTGCACTCTGCACCCATTACACTCGGGACGTCTGTAGATCACAGCGTGTTGTTTGTGTACATCGTCACGCACATGAATGCAAATGAACATGTACATGTAAATGTACATGTCTTTTTTTTTTATTGCAGCTAAAAAATTGCCGAATAATGCGAACAGTGGAGCACTTTCCCATATCTGCCTTAAGATTTGAAGCTGTCCAATTTATCAGATCGGTTGGTTTAGGAAAGTACATGTACATTTCTGAGTTACATGCACATGTACAGTTGTACAATGTACATGTACATATACCTGCCAATGGGTCTCTACATTACATTTTTTTTAAGGGTTCAGAACGGTTCATTGGAAAAATGCCAGGAATTAGGGAGAAGCATGCAAAGCATTGAGACAGAAGCATGTCATTTACAGTTTTGTACACAGTTGACCGACATGTCAACCATGCCCATGCAAACTAACAACAAAATACAGAAGAATACATGCTGCGTCCGAATGACTTGGCTCTGGCTAGCTGGAGATAGCACACAGGCCTATGGCAAGTGGCTGCAGCAGCTTCCTATAGACCCGTGTGTAATTTCAAGCCCTGGTCAAGTAATTCAGACACGGCTTACATCAGTTGAACACTGGTCCGGTGTTCCATGAGTTGCAGGTTCCAATCCATCAAGTCAATTTTTTGAAGTCGCTTGAGGGACTCTTCGTTACAGGTTTAAGTATGATTTCGACAGGTATTCAGGTAAATACATGTATGTGTACTGTACCGGTACATAAAGAACCTCAGTGAAAGACAAACACAATGGTGTCCACAGGACATTGTTCAGATGTGAATCGTAAACCGCCTCAAAATGGCAGTAGTTTTGACGTTTGAAGCCAAACCACCTTTCCTTCGGCCATATTGAGTGGTCCACTGCATCAACCGTGGAGTGTCCACCGCTGGATATATTCAATTAACTCCAGATGATTTCACTTGGCATCTTGAGTCTATGCCCATTAATGCCAACCTGCCCCTTAAACCAGACATCATTCCATCGCTTTGAGCGATTGGGAACTGCAAACAGGTCAACGAGATTAAAGAATTCCTCGAAGTCTGAGTTTTGAGCAGTTTTTTGTTTGTTTCTCACATTTGCAAAAGAACATGGACAGAATTGTTATTTTTCCGTCTCCGCAAATCAACACCAAGGAAATACAACGTACATGTCTTCTAACCGAGCAGCCATGCTCAAAACAATTACAATTATTTAAATTTACATCCCTGTATCAAATTTTACGGCTAAGCAAATTAAAATCTCCTGTTCCCAATGGGTTAAATAAATATAATGCCGTTAGTTATTTTCTCCACTAGGGACGGCTACGAATTAATGCATATGCAATACAATACGTTAATATTCCTTCGTGCCATTGGCACTTTTGGATATACAGTTTCGGTCAGCAATACCGTACGTGCCGCACACAAGCAAACGACTGGCATATATTTAGAGCCGTCGTGAGGTCAAATATGTAAATCTTGGAGGCAAACTGCAGATGTTTTGGCAATCATGGTAATTATTCCGTCTGTGTGCTAGAAATCCATCACAAGCCAAGGGATCAAGTGGCGAAGCGGAGATTATATAAGGAGTCGGTCGTCGAGGTCATGCGTAACAGGACCAGCTCAATGGTTTCATATATCATCTTGATTTAAAATTTAGATTATTGTTCTTCCCAGTTTTACACTTCTAGAATTTAACAAGCGTCCTCAGTGATATTTTCACCAGTGCGAACAGAGATAAATTTACCTCCGTACTTGTAGATTGGTTGTTGAGGTCGTGTGTAAAAGGGCAAGCTCAATGGTTTCATATATCATCCTGATTTGGATTTCACATTATTTTCCTCTCATTTTTGAGTGTTACTTCCAGAATTTCACAAGCGATATTTTCACCAGTGCGAACAGAGATAAATTTACCAACATAGTTGTAGGTCGGTTGTTGAGGTCATGCGTAAGGGCAAGGTCAGTGACTTCATACCTGTCATCTTAATTCAAATGTTAGATATTTTTCTTTCCAGCTTTTGAGTTTTTACTTCTAAATTTCACAAGCGTCCTCAGTGATATTTTCACCAGTGTGAATGGAATTAACTTTACCTGTAGTTGTAGGTCAGCTGTTGAGGTCATGTGTATCAGAGCAAGCTCAATGGTTTCATATCATCTTGATTTAATTTCAGTGTTGGGTTCTGCCCTTCACCGACATATTTTTATAAACACTGTTGTCCGGAGTGATTGTGAGAAAAAAAAAATCACTCAGGTGGGACTCGAACCCACGACCTCCAGCTAATTTCAAGTAGTGCAGATGTCTTACCACTGGACCACCGAGCTTGCCAGGGTCGGCTGGCTGGTTCGATTGTGAAGGACAAAACCCAATAGTAAATTAACATCAACCCGATGCAAATTCCACATTACCATTGTTATAATAATCTTCATTTAATTTTGAGATTATTTTCTGCCCAGTTTTGACTTTTACTTCTAAGAATTTCACAAGCGTCCCCTGTGATAGTTTCACCAGTGTGAACGGAAATAAATTTACCTGTACTTGTAGGTGATGTGCTTGCATAACTGAAAGTGCTCTGTTGGCTTAACGAACCTGTACACACAAAAAAAAAGAAGATAGAAAATCAAAAATATTTTTAGATTAAGCATAACAAAATAAAATTCCAAAGAAACAAAAACACACTTGGGCAAAACCTTGAAAGGCATGAACTTTGAGAGCATGTGTGAAAACAGACCTCACGGGGTTGTGATTTAGGTAGCATGGTTCAGCGTTCCCGTTTTTGTTTCCATTTTTGGTCATTCCAAATCTCCTGAAGGTTGTTTATGCAACTCAAAGACAAAGACAATCTGCATGTGGGGGTCAGGGGTCTGAGCCGTGATAAAATGGGCTCTGGGTACAAAAGTCTGTTTGCTTCCAACTAGTTTGTGTGCACGAATGATCTGTATGTGGAGACCATGTGCCTGTGAATGCACACTGTATGTGGTATGGTGAGGGAAAAAAAGCATTTCAGTCATGGAGTAAATAATGGCATTTCGACAAATTCCATTCAAACACTTGTTTAACCACTTCGCGCGGGGATCATTTTTGCAGGAAATTTCGATTTTCGCAAAAGGCAATGTTTTCAAGCCAACTTCTGACAAACAGCCAAACGCCACAAATACTGATTCGCAAGAGTCATTTCAACAGTATTTTTTACGATATTTCTTGCCGAAACCTCATATGTTTCGATACTCCGGGGTGTGCACTGGAGCGTATATTGTAGGCCGTGCACAACGGCCAATTCAAGATCAACACACGGTCCGCCTCCACAAACTTCACAGACTTTGTGTGTGTGTACAAAAGGCGCGAGGGGTTAGCATGTTTAGACATCACCCGGAAGCGAGTCCAGCCAATCTTGACGTTTAAACCCGTCAGCCGTGCCTGTGTATAAAAACAGCCAGTGCGTGCTATCACGTCTTCCGATGCGAACTGGTCAACTCATCATGATAAGTGCCGAATGAATTAACATTTACTACAGTATACATGTTCAATGTACATATACAAATTGATCCAGATCAAATCAAATCAAATCAAATCAAATCAAATCAAATCAAATCAAATCAAATCAAATCAAATCAATTCAACATCAAATTGTATCAAATCCACCTTTGAGTAGTTTGTATGTTGACATTCATCACTGCTCCAATCCCTACATATGTACAAGGCTGTGGAATTAAGAAGGTAATTTTCGGAAGCAAATATATCCATTTTAGACGTGGGTACATGTACGAGTAAACCTCGTTACCCATTTCACTATAAGCACCAGCTGCAGTTAATGGCACAGTGGCACAATACAATTGCCCCCTATTATTGCTTAAATTAATCACTTCAATTACAAGCGACAACCTGTATGTATGTAAATAGACAATTAGTCTGCAGCCTGCGCTTTGCAGAGAGTACACCTTGCACTGCATTACTGAGATCTTATTCTGATGCACTGATAATGAGAACATTAGAATAAACATGAACATGTACTGAGACTGGACCTTCACCAAAAAATGCATGTGATTCTTTCAATGACAGCGGCCCAGAGTAGGAAACATAAAATGAATCTTCAATTTTTATAGGTTGATACACCCACTCCAAGATTATATCTAGGCATTACCTGCTCATCAAATTAAAACAATTTATTCATCAAACATGCAATGATTAATTAACATGTTAATGTGTTCCCTAGAAAACAAGGAGTTGTCTTTATCTTTCTAATGACACTGTGGGTTGATTTTTATTCAGTACATTCACAGATAAACAAGCCAAACTATTGTACTGAGATCCATAATGCAAATAATGAATCACATAATCGCTTGTTATATAACCATACACAAAATCTGATGGTAAACAAGTCTTCATCATAAATACATGTACATGTACATGTGCCGTTAGATTGTGAGACAAATGGAACATGAGGCAGTGTGCATTAGCTTCATTTGTATGTAGCACGATGCCAGCAAATTGCCCACGACTTCTAAAGTATACCGTAGTAAAATCAATGTTCAGATGGGAAAGTCGCTATTTCTTTACGTCTTTCCCCATCTGGGGGACTCAATGAGTCACCACAAATGAATGGAGAAAACATTAAATGTGAAGCTGATTATTAGGAAGATTCTACCATCATGGACATATTTAACTAAGAGATCAACTGAATGGCCACAAATCATTAACTATGGCACAGAGATACATGTCATTGATACCAATATGAAACATGAAACAGTTGTAGTGCATCAGACTATAATCAATGAAGCATTGAAACAGTGCCTCATGCGTAATATGATGCTCGATATTGCTCGTCACTCATTTTACAATACATGTAATGCGTACATGTACTGCTGTTTACAGATCCGAATTATGATGGAATTTTACAACATACGGTGTACGCATTTCCTGTAACATTAGTCATACTGCGGTGACTTGCTCCCCGTGTTTATTTTTCCACGAATGATGCACGGCGTAATATAAATTAAGATATCCCTGAGTCGTGAACTACGTGTTTATAAAAGAACAGTGTCATATCATGTGTAGGGGTATCCATCTAATTGAAGATAAGTCTACATGATACATGCTGAAGCCCAGCCAGAGCTAGCCAGGCATGTAGTTGATGTACAGGCCTGGTTTTGTCCGTACAGGGACATCTGGACAGTGTTTTTCTTCCATGAATTTATTAAACATTAAACAGATAGGTTGCAGATCTCAAAAACACCCAAGTGGGTGGGATGGCAGATTAATGGCAAGGATAATACTGTGAGTCACAAAAAGTGAGAAAGGGCTTTGAAATACAAGTTAATCAACAGGGCCTACCCGTATTTTTAGAACAAAGGATAGAGTTACAAGACCAAAGGCAATACCTTCATTATTGGCTACGTGCGCCAACAAGAGAGGGCGCTTGTTTACAATTTTCGAGAGCCCCCTGGACGGGACGCACCGCATATGCGTATTGGTTCTGAATATGCACAAAGCCACAGCGTCCTTGCGGGAGTGTAATGCGTCATCCCACAATGCTTTTGAATGTCTCTCCCAGTGGTCTCCCCCAACTCTCCCTTTCTTACCATTGAGGGGGTACTTGCGCGCGGCACCCATTGCAGTATGATTGCACACTGTCTCATATTTCTTTAAGGCAATCTTTAATTTTGATGCAGGATTGACTGGCTGTGACTGCCTATGTAACATGATACAGCTATGTGACTGATCAAACAGCAGTTACGTGTACATGTACCAGTAAATGTAATATGACGCGAAATGTGCAGAACTTCAATGAGGCTGAAGACCTACATGTAGTGGCATTAAAATGGAACATACCGTAGATGTACATGTGCGAAAAAAGGGCAAATTTGTACATTTACATAATTCACCAACATCAACCATCAACAAAAAGCAATCACTATCGTCAAGGCCCAGACTTGAAAATTACAATGTAAGAAAGTAGTGTGTTATACAATACATTTTACTGTACGTACCGTAGTATCAAATGCTGCACTGAATTCAACACGCACGGGCTGCCACTGCACTTACGCGACCCTCCCATATGCATTCCAGAAGAAAGCCAAATAATTACCGCAAGTCCACGACTCATCTGGTAATCGCCAGGCTTCCTCACTCGTTAACGACGCGACCCGAAAACGCCACAACCTAGCAAAATAGTGCTGCACTCCGTCAGCAGTCCACGAAAAAGCACCATTCCTGCACCGAAACCTCGCAATGAACTAAATTTACCTCTGGAGCCTTGCGATTCACGAAATAATCTCCCTAGCTGATTACAGTCATCACTGTCCCCCCCTCCCCCCCCCCCCCCCCCGGACTCCAAGACCGTCTTCTTTTTATTCATCCCGAAACCGTCCTTCCGAAAATTCATCCCAAATGACTTCTGGCCAGTTCAAGAAGGCTTGAGCTGCTTGATTATATCGATCATAATACAAGAGAGGCAATATCTATGGAATAGTAAAAGAGGGGGCATATTTTCCTGGGTAATAGGTAATACTATCCCCTTCCTTCCATTCTGGGAAAGCTCTTGAAAAAAATGACTTGGGATGACATCTGACTGTAATTAAAATTCACGGTGGCATCCACAAATAAAAAGAAATTGTTAGTCATACTTCTGTATTTTTTAAAAATGGAAAAGTGGATGTAGATTTTTTTCAAACACTTTTTATAACTTCACTTACTCGTTATACATACATGTACATTGAAGCTTCAAAAAAAAAGTTTACGCAAAATGCTAAAAAAAAATTAACAGCCAATAAACTCCTCTTGTCTCAGCTCGATTTTTGTTACCCAGAAATCTGAAATATTTTGAAATATTTATCAAGGTGTTCAAATGTTCAAATTTTCAAATATCCCTCGGAAAATGTCGTAAATGTAGTGCCCAAACTTTTCTTATCTTGACAGAATATTTTTACTCCCCCCCCCCCAATTCTGAATACTTAACAGAACCTGATTGCATGAGCACACCCCCTTTATTTAAAATCAAGCCACGCCCCTAGGAAGCAGTAATAACAGTAGCTCATTACTGAGCCTATTATTAGGCAAATCAGTGCAAAGAAATGCACAACCTGATTGGCTATGTGTTTTGATTTCCTGTCCGCTGATTGCAATTATTCAAATGAGCTGCCATACAAATAGCCTCATTAAGACTGTAAAAACTCATTTTCCTTCCCTGGAGTGGAGATGGAATTTCTTCTGAACAAACATTACGCGGGCAATGACTTGAAATTATCAACCTCAATGAAGGAAAAACTCAAATCAAAACAAAATCCAAAGGCCACAAATGAAACACATATCATTTTGAAGCTTATTATCTGTATTTGTGATGCAATCAAGCTACATGAGTCGTTTGTTGACCCTAATCATAAAAATTGTCATAACAGATTTGAAAAGGGCCCAATCTCAGCATTACTGTTCTGAAAACCGCATGCTGATACCATCTTTAGTTCCAAAATTATGGAAGTTGGAACACCAAGCCATGTGATGAAGTGATGTGATGAAGTGGCCCTACATTGTATTTTGGCCTGTATCTCCAAATAAAAATTCCCGACAAACGACTCATTTAGCTTGATCGCATC